TATATATATATTGTCATATATATATATATTAATAATAAATATTCATGCAAAAATTTATTCGAATCTACTTACTTATTTAAAAGCATTGACCTAAAACTGCAGCAAAATGTGACCATTATAAGCCAAATTATTTATTATTTTGCTTTTTACGATTGATTTCGAATATATAATTCATAGGTTATCGTCAAAATTTGTTTAATATTAGCTGATATTGTCTAGTTTCTTAATATTTTTAGCATGATATTGTACAACCAAAACGATTTCAACTGATTTCATCGGTTGAATAAAAAAATCACTAATTGATCCGGAATTTGAACGGAGTCGCCCTCTTCCTTTTCGTCGATCAACGATTAACGTAGTTGGAATTTGCATTTCCGCCACGGACGAAGATTGACGTTCCTTTCTAGCAAGATGGCTCCGAAACCGAAGCCCACGGAAAAGGCAGGTAGGTTTAAAAGTAATTCGTGACGTTCGTTTTTCTTTCTGAGTGCACGTTTTTAAGCTGAAAAGGCGTTTTTCAAAAATCATTAATCAATACAAATGTAACGTATCAACGTCGCGCAGTTCGGGGTTGAGGAACGCGATCCAGAACCATGTGGTCAAATATACGCACATTTTCTTACATCTTGTTTAAAACGATGACGATTCTCAGAAGAACATTTCTTGATTTTTATCCACCGGTTTTTATTCACTGTGTCCGCGAATCTCACCTGCCACATTGCTTGTTCGGCACTAATTGATGTAAGATTCGCATATACCATAACCTATAAAGCCTAATTTACAACGTGCTACAATTTGTTTTTTATTTCTTTTTGCCATTTGCCTTGTTTCTTCGTTTCTTATCTTTCAAGATGAAAATCGATAAACTTTGAGAAAAATAAAATACATGTAACAACACACACACTAAAATTGTCACTAAAATGGTCGCAAAGAGAAGAAAGGAAACAGATAGTCGGTTATGTATTTTGAAACGATATGAAAATTATAAAAGTGAACAAATTCACTAGATGTTGACTGTAATAAAATTATAAATACTCTAGTGATTTTGCTCAATTTTGTAATTTTCATCTCGTTTCAAGATACACAATCGATCAGCAGGAAGCAAAGAGCACATTGTGTAGATAAAAAGATAGACTGGAAAATCAAGAGGTAGAGAATTTTACTTCAAAAGTATTTTTGAGAATAAATTTACTTTAGATCTTTCTTTTTTTTTATGTATCCATTTGACTATTGATCCAGTTCTATATCACTTTCTTTTACAGGTAAGCCTGCAGAGAAGAAGACAGAGAAGAAGGCTGAGAAGAAACCAGCTACAGCAGCAGCATCTACTTCGAAGGTGACAAAGCCTGCGGCCAAGCCTGTGGCTGCAAAGAAGCCAGCAACTGCCAAACCAGCAGCTAAGCCGGCTGCCAAGCCTGCAGCTAAGCCTGTGCTTAAGCTTGCCAGCAAGCCATTGATTAGCAAACCCAAGAAGAATGTACAGGCTACCAAGAAGACTCCAAAGGGTGGAAAACCAGCAACTCCAGTTCAGAAAGCTCTTAAGGCTCAGAAGAAGGTACTTAAAATAGAAACATTTATCTTGCTAATATTTTAATCCAAGGTAAACAAGAAAATTAAAATAATGTTAATTTGGCGACATTAATTATTACTTGAATTTATGTTTTTGTCATAATTTAATCAATTTGGACTTGTTCTCCTTGAGAGACATATTATCTTTTTCAATGATGAATTTAAATGTGGGAATCTCTTTGAATTTCCATGAAAATAACTTTTTAACATAGTACTGAACAATTAACGAGTCTACTATATCAAGAGCAAGAATGTATCAAATATTATGAATTTAATAGTCACATTTACTTTACAGATCTTGAAGGGAGTTCATGGCTCTAGGGTGCGGAAGATTAGGACATCCGTTCACTTCCACAGGCCCAAGACTTTCAGGCCACCTAGAAATCCCAAATATCCGCGCAAATCTGTGCCAAACAGAAATCGGTAGGGTTTACAGAGAGATTCACTCGAAACTTCATAAATAAATGTGTATATATGAATTTATTTTGAGAAATCATTGCATCTTTATGATTTGTATTTCAGTATGGACGCATTCAACATCATAAAATTCCCATTGACGACGGAAGCAGCGATGAAGAAGATTGAGGACAATAATACCTTAGTCTTTATCGTACACGACCACGCCAACAAATATCACATCAAGGCATCGATTAAGAAGCTTTACGATGTCGATGTAGCAAAAGTGAATACTTTGATGAGGCCGGATGGCAGAAAGAAGGCATACGTGCGTCTAACGCGCGATTATGATGCGCTCGATGTCGCCAACAAAATCGGCATCATATAATTTCTATCTCACTTTTTGTTTAAAAATAAAATAACGTCTTGTACTGATATAATAAAAAGATATCAATACGGAGAAAGATTAGATTTTATTTGTTACTTCGCAATCCTTGCTCGAGATAAGTAAACAAAAATTTATAAATTAACGGAGAAGATTTATTTCAGTTTTAAGATACAATTTAATCGACTGAGTGAAAGAAAATATCGACTGTTGATATTTCCTCACTTCTCAAGAATATTGCCATCTGTTGTTAATAGTAGGACATGTATGCTTCCGTCTGATTACATTAGATTAGCTATCTTGACAATGTCAGTGAGAGGCGTCAGCTGAAGTTTAATGGAATAATGGATTGGATACTGTATAGAAACAAAGTAATATGAGGTATAGATATTTATGTTTGAATGCATAAAATGATAATATAAAAGATTCGTATCATAATTATTATATAAAAAATACAAACATATAATATAAACAAGGTAAGTTATTATATGTCAAAGAAATTTTATTGAAAGAAATAAGAATTTCAATATGATTATCATATTTTATAAATTTATAATACATATGTATTAATTATAAAAATTCTACAATTAGAGTGCCTCTAACAATCTTCAAATTGCCGAAGTTACAACTTTAATAAATAAAAATGATCGAGGCACCGACATGGAACTCTAAAAAAGATGAAGGCATCTATAAAGCCGCAGGTGCTATGCATCTACGAAAATACGGAGAATTCTTTGAGAATCTGGTGGAGAAATCCTGGAAGGGTGATTCAACATTACAGTATATTATAGAAGGTCCTTTACGTCTAGTCTACAAATCGACGGAAGATATTGGCATCCTGTCCTTGGTGGAAATGGAGAATAAAGTTCTATCCAAGCTGCTAGCAGCGATAGCAGGAACATGCAGAGAAATCAGATTGCTGAAAGTGGAAGCTGCTGGTTTTTATGCAAAGCTCTTTGCTCATGGAGAAAGGTGCATAGATGACGATCTTATTGGTGTGACTAAATTATTGTCAGATCTCCTAGATCTATCTGTTTTTATCAATCGAATGTCAGCTGTCGTACACTTGACTACTCAACAATTGGCAAGTCTATCCGGCGCCGTCCATGAAATTTATTTACCCGTTCTATTGGAAGGCTTCATAGATCTATTTGTTATCCTTGTAACTCTCGACGAGATCGTCGACGCTCAACCAGCAATATTGGATCAGTGGAAGAAGTACAGAATACATGTGCGTTCTATGATGCATAATCCATCGCAGTTTGATGTCACCAAGACAAAATTGGAAACATTTGATCATCTGCTCAAAGATTTGCAGGAGAAATTGCTACGAAAGAATATGTTTCTAAAGACGATCGAGCATGTGATGGATGTAAATAAAGGTGCAGTCATGAGTGAGCAGATCATCAGTTATCTGAAAAATATAATTACAGATGTGGAGAGTAAATCCAACGACTGTGCCGCATTGAACAAGAACTGGATAAGAGTCAACGTCGGTGTCGTCGTGGTAATAAAGCTGTTCGGCACTTGTGACAAGAAACTGATCAAAAGGGTGCTGGAGACCAACAAGAAATTCTACGCCGTCACATTAGTGGGGAATGTGATGTGGGTGCCTAGTAAGTTTCTCAGCAACATCGTGCCAAAGGAAACTGGCAATACCATAAACTCACAAATTGGCGAAAAGATTCTGCAGGCGAGAACACAAAGATTGTCTGTCACGGTGAACAATCTGATACAACGAGGGACGATCTGGTGCGTGGAGATGCAGAGTATCCTTACAAGGACCAATCTCCAGGTATCAGATATCGGACAAAAGCGTACGTTGCTGATGGATTTGTTGACTTTGCTGTCTCAGATGCGAGAAACTGTTGCATTTGTGACGAATCTGCACGCTTTGCTGTCGAAGCCGATGAGTCGTGGCACAGTACAATTAATTTGCAGACTCGTGGAGTTACAAAAGTCCCTCCAGACGACGTTTTACGCACTCGGGCCGGTTGTAGTGCAATCGCAGGCGCAAGTGCTGCAATACCTAGCTTACTACGTGCTAGTTATGCTGGAAACGGCGCGAAAAGCTCTTGTTCAGAGGGACAAGAGTTACAGCAGGGAACGCTTAGATGCGCTATCGCTGATAGGGCTGAGTATGCGGCTGATAAGTGG